ACCGTCGTCGCCATCCTCCTCCGACATGATGGCCACGCACTGCTCCCACACAGTGCGCACGTCGGCACGGTAGCGCTCGCAGGACCAGATGAAGGAGGGCAGCAGCAGCGTCTGCGCCATGGAGCACCACAGCACAGCCAGCACCATCCACGGCGGAGCCGAGTCCGACTTAAGGGAGAAGAAGCTCACCACCTAGCGGGAGGATGGGGAATGGCGCGGGGTCACGACCCAGAGCTCAGAGGTCCCACTTGACCCCAGATCCAATATCCTAGTGCAGTGGGTGGACAAGAAGGAAAGGATGGCCCGGTTCACAGAGGATCGTGACAGAGGCAAAGTTGGAGGTGGAATGGGATGAACAGAGGGGAAGGGACTGATTCAGAGGAAGATCAGGGGCAAGTAGTGAAGATAAAGCCCCCGAGGGGTTGGGGGAGAAGCAGAGGTGGTAGAGAAAACTTGAACACAGAGAGAAATTCAGGAAGAGGGACTAGATGGGGATGCAAAAAGCTGGGGTGGTGGGGTGAACTCTCTGGGGTTTCCACCCAGGGTGCTGAGAGGCCCTGTGGTAACCGGAGAGTGGCAGGGAATGGAGAATGGAGGTCCAGGGGCTGAAGCAGGGAGACACAGGGTACATGGTGGAGCTGGAAGATAGGTGGAGGCAGTAAAGGACGGATGACAGGGTTGAGCAGCAGCAACCGGGAAACAGATGATGAGGCTGGGGGTGACGGGAACCAGGAGACGGATGACAGAGGTGGGGGGCTCACAAATGTAGCAGGGGTGGGCAGAAAAGAGGAAGGTGGACGGCGGAGCTGCTGTATGGCTGATGACTTCGAGGTCAGGTGGTTGTGCTGGGGCCTGGATATTAGGGATAGCAGGTGGGGGACCCCAATCTCACCAAGATGGGCACCCCTGTGAGTGAGTCATAGAGAAAGACGATGGCGCTGACCAAGTTGGTGACCTGCAGGGATGTCTTGGCCGACTCAGAGCCGTCCAGCGAGGACCGCCGCTTGCCTCTGGCATCCTCCACCACAATGGCTGGCACCTCAAAAGCTGGCCGGGTACCCAACCCCCCTGGCCCACCCCCCTTGGCCCCACCCCCAACCCCCGCTCTCCGGGCCAGCCGAGCCCTCCGGGGCCGGGCCCACAACGTCTGGTAGAAGGTGATGGCCACACAGACCAGCCCCATGACAATGCCCCCAAGGAGCAAGAGGCTGAAGCAGACGCCAAAGCCCAGGCCAATCTTGGAGACTATGAACTGGCAGCCACGGGCGTAGTACCGCTCGCCATTGTTGTGCCAGCCGATGGAGGGCAGCGTGGAGAGGATGAAGCTGACCATCCAGATGCCCATGACAGCATGCAGCGCCTGCTTCTTGGCGTTGCTGAGGCGGTAGTTGACGGGCCAGCGCACCATCCACATGCGATGGTAGGAGAGCGAGGCGACTGTGAAGCAGGTGGCCAGGGCCAGTGTGTAGTAGGTGGACACAAAGACCTTGCAGATGCTCTCGTTCCAGTCATAGTCAGAAGAAGCCTGCCGCCGTAGCTGCACCACGGCGAAGGTGGTGAGGGGCACAGCCGCCATGAGTATGTGTGTGCCCGCCAGGAAGCAGAGCAGTAACTCCAGCGGCTTGTGCTTTTGCTGCTTGGCCGAGATGCTGAGGATGATCCAGGCATTGGCCAGCAGTGCCAGGAGCCCACAGGCCAGCCAGGACAATGCGTTTGAGCGCAGGGAGGCCTCCTCTGCCCCTGCCCCGCCCCGAGCCATCCTATCCTCGGTCCCCCCACCCCCCCTTGAACTCCTGGGGGTGGGGGCTAGGTCTCACCCTGGAGCCCCACTCACACACACACCCATTATGCGTACAATCCTTGCCCTGTAGTGAAGCAGGCCACGGCTAGGCCTACCTTCCTGCTCAGCATTGCATGACCGACCCAGCTAAAGTCAGGTGTGGAGGGCAGGGGAGGAGACTGAGGGTCAGCAGAGGTGATCCTCAGCCTCCATACCGGGTGGGGCCCTTCCTGAAGTATCCCTGTAATTGAGGGGAAGGGGGAGGGGGAGGAGGAGCGGGAGGAGCAAGCTGACTGCTTTCCCAACTATGAGGCTGGCTGAGGAGCTCTGGTCCCCATGCCGGGACTTCCAGTTCTCTTCTTCCTCTGGTTCTTGACCAGCCTGGGATCCTCTGGGCACCCCAAGGGGTGTGGGGGTAAGGCTCAGCCACCTGGACAAACTGCAAGGGAGAAATGACATGTGGTGGGGGGGAGGGCAAAGGTAGGGCTTGGGCTGGTCTCCAGCTGACTTCCTGTGCCCCCTTCTCTGGAAAGTATACGCAAACAACCTATTACTAGGGGTCATAGGGTCATTCAGAACATTCTCCTGCCTTAAACCAGATGGCCAATCACATAGCCCACACAGGTAAGAGCCCTGCTTTCCAGACCTTCAGAGAAAGAAGATATTCTGACCTCCTGTCTCCTACCCTTTTTCAGCCCTTTTTCCTCCCTCTGTCATTCCCTGGTCCCTTCTTCTTATATCCTCTGCTCAGTACTATTCAATCCCTATTTTCATGTCCCTGAATCTCTCTTCAGGGCTACTGATGGCAGATACATGACTTGTTTCTTCTTGAGGGTTCATGGTAAACTGGGATATGTGTGCTAACACAGCTCCTCCCCGATGCTCCAGCTCCTGGGCCCAGGGCTCTTGGTGCTCAGCCCCATTTCCCCCAAGCCTGCCCTGCATGATCCCCCTCTAGCTCACTAGGGACCTGGGAAGATGGGAGAAAGGAAGCCAGGGACTGGGGGGGGGGGTGGCTAGGGAACCCGAAGGCGGGGAAACCGCTGACATCAGAAGCATCCAGAAATGGAAAGATGGGGAACTAGGGGGAAGGAGGAGAGTTTGAGCAGAAGAGAAAGAAGGGGCAAAGTGATAGTATCTGAAAATAGAAGGGAAACCCCAGAGACCCTTCACAAGAAGGCTTATGAGGGAAGAGGGGTTGCATGGAACGAGGGAGCAGGAAATAGGAAAAAGCCCAATGTTGAATAAGGTGCAGCATCCCACTGGTAGACCTCCACTCTTTCCTCCCATGCCCCAGCCTCAGTTTCCCTCTGATGGGAAGGAGGATAGTCCTGAATTTCCTGAAGCTGAGCTTCAGTGAGCCCTTGGGAGGGGACTAAGAGGAAATCAGATGAAACCCTGAACAGAGTGGAGGCAAGAAGGATGAGCTAATGGCTTTGGGGGCAAATAGGGGTAAAAATGGGGCACAGAAGTGAGAGGGTCTACTTCCTGTGGAAGAATCTCAGATCCTAGCCCTCCCTGAGAGGTCCTAGTCCGCCCCCCACCTTTGTTCCCTCCGGAGCCCAGTATACCCTAGTTGCCATGGCAATGGCCAGCCAGAGGGAGGTGGAAGGAATTGGTCAGAAGCGCTCCCCCCCCCCCCCACTACTCTCCCCTACAGCCTGGCACCCCTTCCCACCTACCCTCACCCAGGCCCAGCGGGTGGGTTTAGGAAAAAAGAGATGGGGAGTCAGAGAGGGAGGGAGGGAGGAAGGATGTGAAGGACAGAGAGGAGGTGAAGGACAGAGAAAGATCAGAGGAAGGTGGGAGGGAGGATCTGGGGGACTCCACCGCTGTCAGGGGTCCCTCGCCCTTCGGGGTGAAGGGGTAAGGTCAGGCGACTCCTCCCTCCTGCCACCCACCGTGTTCTCCAGGGCAGTGACAGCAGGTGGCTGGGGAGGAGGGGCCGGCCGGAGGGGAGAGAAGGCGGCTGGGGGGAGGAGAGGAGGGGGCCGCGGGGGACAGGGCAGGGGTCGTCTTACCTCTGGCTGCGCCCGGCACTGCCATGGAGACCGCACTCCCGACGCGGCTCGCCCGGGCTCCCGCCGCCCGCCGGCTCCAGCTCGCCCGCCCTCCTCCTTCCCTCCCTCCTTCCCTCCGGGCCTCCCTCCCCCTCCTCGGTCCCAGCCTCCCGGGCTCGGTCCGCCGCTCACTCAGTCTCTGCCCCCCCAGATCTGTCCAAGCCCCCCTCTCCCGGAGGCATGCCGCCCGTGAGCCCCGGGTCCGGGTCCGGCAGGGAAGCGGCTCGGGGGGCGCGGGGGCGAGTGCGGGGCGGGGAACTGGACGGCGGTGACTTGGAGGGGGAGGGGCAAGGAAGGCGCCGGCAGGGAGGGGGCGAGGACGCTGGCGGGGAACCGGCTTCATTGGTGAGACGGTTCGTGTCCTGCCCCCACCCCACCCCGGTTTTCCGCACGAACACAGGCTCAGAGAGGCAGCTGGTGGTGTTCGGGGACTGAGGAGCTGGCTGTTCGGGCGGAGGAAGCGTGTGTCACTGTGTGTATCCGTGAGGGCTGCGCCCTGGGTGTAGCTCAGTGGGGTATGTGCTGGAGGCTGTGATGGAGCTGGGGCTGCTGGGGGCGGGGCTGGTGGACACAGGTCTAAAAGAATATATCCACCCCCCCACCTCCCCCCACACACATACCGCTTCCTTCTCCTGGAACACAAACTCACACTTCTGTTGGGGATGCACACCATTAGCATGCACACATTACAGTTTCTCTTGGTCCTTTTTTCCCACCACGCACATGCATGTGTAGAGCACACACAACCCCTGCGGCCTCTCCCTCTCAGTACATCACACGCACAGGATTACAAGGTCTTGGCCTCCTGCACACACAAGGCCCTGTGGGGTGGGCAGGTGGGTGATGGGCCTCCAGAGAATTTTTCCCTCCCGGGGCGGGGGGGGGGGGGGGGGGGGGGG